AGCATTACTGGAGGAACAAGTATGAAGGACACAGGGACAATAACTAAGGGGGTGGAAATGGGAGGGAGGTGGGGAGCACTGGGCAGGGTGGGTTGGGATGGGAGAAATAAACAGAAAACTGTACTTGAAAAATAACTAAATAAAAAATAATAAATGTCAAAAAAAGCATTATTGGGATAACTGATAAAATTTGAATATAGCCTGTGAATAGGTAACAGCACTGTATTAAGTTTCCTGATTTTAATTATGTGGTTATGCATGAGAATGCATTTGATTTTAGGAAACATACATTAGGTATTCAGGGGCAAAAGAGGCATACTTCCCACTTACTCTCAGAGTGGTTCAGGAAAAAATATTATATATCATACACAGAATGATAAAGCAAATGAGCAAAATGTAAACAATTGGTGGACAAGAGTTCCTTTTTTTAAAAGATTTTATTTATTTATCTTTAGAGGGGAAGGGAAGGAGAGAGGGAGAGAAATATCAATGTATGGTTGCCTCTTATGTGTTCCCTGCTGGGAACTGGCCTGCAACCCAGGCATGTGCCCTGACTGGGAATCCAACTGTGGTTGCTTGGTTCCCAGGCCCGCGCTCAATCCACTGAGCTAAAGAGTTCCTTTTATAATCCTTGCACTATCTATACTTTCTATAAATTTTCTATTGTAGCAAATGTACTTATTTTTTTAAACTCCCCATTCACAACAAAACAGTTCGAAACTGCCCTTGGGGTATTACATGAAACGTGCAGCAGTCCATGGCGTTCCAATGAAGACACGCACGACAGTCTCTCCCCCCACTCTGGCTTCCTATTCTGATGATCACTACTACTGCCATAATGGTTCTGAACACTGTTAATAAAATCATTTTAATCACGTAGTGTTCATTTTATACATATACTGGACCACTGCTAAAAAACAAAGTGTAAGAGACTTAAATATAAGTACATAATATACAATTAAATATAAGTTAGTGAGAAACATAAAAATTATTCTACAAATATGCTTCAACTGTAGGCCTTTCACTTGGATTTACCAGATCCAATCTCTCACCCAGCACATATAAAGATGACTTTAGGCCCTGTTTGGTGCAGCTCAGCGGCTTGAGCGCCCCACCTGTGAACCAAAGGGTCACCAGATTGATTCCCAGTCAAGGCACAGGCCTGAGCTGCTGGCCAGGTTCCCAGTTGGGGGTGTGAAATAGGCAGCCACACACTGATGTTTCTTTCCCTCTCTTTCTTCCCCCTTTTCTCCTCTCTAAAGATTAATAAATAAAATCTTTGAAAAACGATGGCTCTAGAACTTCGAAGGTGTCAAAAATAATAAATAAACAAGCATTGATACTTATAGTCAATTTGCCTTTCATCGCAGATTGCCTTTACTTGTCTACTTGGAATCTTAATGTATGAATGTGTTGGTGTATATATTTCTATATCTATTAAAAACAAAATGTTATATTTTGTTCCAAGAATCAGGTTATAAAAAATTGTTTTTTAAAAAAACTTAACACATTACAAAACTTTAGTCTATACCCCAAAACCAAAATAATCTTTTCACTTTTGAATTATATAAAGAATCATTGTGCTTCTCAGATAAGGTCAAGTTCAAGGAGTTCATCATCACCAAGCCCTTATTATATGAAATGTTAAAGGGACTTATCTATGAAAATGAAGATAAAAAATATGAACAGAAAAAAGCCAGCAAAGTCACAGATATTAACAACCACGACTAAAACAAAAGCAAACTAAGCAAACAACTAGAACAGAAACAGAACCACAGAAATGGAGGGTTAGCAACAGGGGAGTGGGAGGAGGAGAAAGGGGGGAAGATACAGAGAATAAGTAGCAGAGATGGTAGGCAGAAAATAGACAGGGGGAGGGTAAGAATAATATGGGAAATGTAGAAGCTAAAGAACTTATGACACATGGACATGAACTAAAGTAGGGGGAATGTAAGTGGGAGGGGTGTGCAGGGTGGAGGGGAATGAAGGGGGAGAATAGGACCATTGTAATAGCAAAATCAATAAAATATTTTTTAAAAATTCATTGCTTCTCAGATTTTTGGCTAAGATCAAGTGTAAATTAATATAAAGAATCAATCATGTTTTACTTAAACCAAAATGTAAAGCTAGCAAAAATACAAGATACTAGTTAAATTGGGTAAAGTAAAAATATATATTAAATAAATATAACTATCTTAAAATTTGACTCCTGGCCCTGGCCAGATAGGTCAGTTGGTTAGAGCATTGCCCGGATATGACAAAGTTTCAGGTTTGATCCCCAGTCAGGGCACATACAAGAATCAACCAATGAATGCATAAGTGAAATAATAAATTGATCTCCCTCTCTCTACCCCTCCTTCCTTTCTCTTTCTCTAAAATCAGTAATATAAAACACCCTCAAGATTGTAAAATAAGAGGGTTTTTAAAAAAATATTTTATTATCTATTTTTAGAGAGAGGGGAAGGGAGGGAGATAGAGAGGGAGAGAACATCAATGTGTGGCTGCCTCTGTGCACTCCTCACCGGGGACCTGGCCTGCAACCCAAGCATGTGTCCTGGCCCGGAATCAAACCAACCAGTGGCCCTTTGCTTCACAGTTCGGTGCTCAATCCACTGAGCCACACCAGCCAGGGTGCAAAATGAGAGTTTTCAAGTCCAACAAAATGACTACTTACATCATTAGGAGATGATTTTTTACATCAGTAATCAGCTAACTACAGCCTGCTTCCTGTTTAGGTAAATAGTTTTATTGAAAGAGGCCCTTGTCTATTCCTTTACATATTGCCTATCTGTAGCTGCTTTCCCATGACAACAGCAGAATTGGGACACAGAGAAAACTAACAGAACCATAATACAAATAAATGTCCAGTAAATCCTCACTTAACAAGGCCAATAGGTTCTTGGAACTGTAGCTAAACTATTTAAAACAAAACCAAATTTACCAGAAACTAAAACATCTCATCAGCATTATAATGAAATGAAGAAAGTGCTGTACAGGAAAAATAAACACAAGGAAAAGAGGGGTCTCACATCAGCGTGTGAAGGGCAGGTTAGTGAGGGCTGTGTTATACGAGGTATTCTCTGATGAAGTGGAACTTGAAAGATGAGAAGTGAACTAGATTTTTGTTGTTGTTTTTAAAAGGAGAAGAGCATTTCAAGGACTTCAGGTAGAGGGAAGAGCATGTATGGGAAGATGACCAGTATGAAGAACTGGAAGGAGGTCGGCATGGCTTGACAGCATTACACCTGTAGAAGGAAGATTAAGTTGAGTGACAAGCAAGGGGACAGACCACACAGAGCTTTATTGGGGGCAGTAGGTGGACAACATCAACCAATTTGTCTCAGCTTCTCCACATCAGATAATCTTTCAAATTTCAAGGACAAAGGCTGTCTCTCACTTGCCTTCTTGGGTTTCACGGGCCTGACAACTGTTTCAAGTTTGAAATACACAACTGACCAAAAAATGGAGTATCTTCCTTTTTAGGTAGTTTACAACACACATTTTAAGAGACACTGATTTTCTCTTCTAATTCAATAGAAAGAGCCTGGAGTGACTGTTCCAATTCTGCTACTAAGTGAATTATCTAAATCACTGACCCTTTTATCTGTCAAATCAGAGGACAGGACTAGGTGGTTGCTATGAGATGCACCTACAGATTTCTTTCCATCTTATTTAAACTTTGTTATTCGTCTCTCTTAAACTGATCCTCAGTGTGGTCTAGTAATGACATCATTAAGTTAAATGTGATAATAAAAAGAGGTTCTTTCTAACTCCCCAATTTACATGACAATGGATAAATTTCTTTTTATCAGTTATTAAAAACTATTATTTATAGATTTATAAAATACAATTAACATTACAAAGCTTGGAATTTTGTATCAACTTAAAAAAATACCGAGATACAATCAAATCCACAAGTGATCTTGAAAACAAACAGAAAAACACTTCTCTTGGTGTCTGAGTCATCAGCCCGAACCGGACACAAGTCAGACTGCAGCAGCTGTGGGTCACAGCTTAAAATCAAGAATTCAATTTAATTGTGGTAACAGATTTTTTAAAGTTGAAGGATCAGAAGCAGAGGCAATTTACGAAGCAGGAACTACCATTTGCTGGAATAAGCCAACACTATATTCTAAAGCATAAGGGATGATATCCAGTTATTCTACTCAAATTAGACTATCCAATTACCTTCCCTACGAACACTAAGGTCAAATAAGCTCTTCTCTACACACCTAAAAAAAAAGACTTCAAGACTTATCCCAGGGGTCTTTCTTCCCTTTGGGAGAGATGAACCTGAAGCAAGCAGAGTTGATAATGGTCCCTCTTGGTACTATCCAGGTAGCTTGATAGTACATAATACTATACTGGTACTTCAGATTTTCAGTTATTTGTTGACCTGAGTATCCATTACTATTCTCTGATGACAGGGGATATGTCTCAATTAACATACTCAATGCTTACTTGTTGAATAAATAAAAATATCCTATTTGTTTAAAAAATAAGTTTGCATGCCCTGGCTGGTGTAGCTCAGTGGATTGAGCACAGGCTTGCAAACCAGACGATCGAGGTTCGATTCCCAGTCAGGGCACATGCCTGGGTTGCAGGCCAGTTCCCAGCAGGGGACACGTGAGAGACAACCATACATTGATATTTCTCTCCTGTCCTTCCCTTCCCCTCTAAAGATAAATAAATAAAATCTTTTAAAAAGTTAAGAAAAATAAATTTAACAGGCTCAAACCACGGATCATCAGTTTTAGAATTTAATGTAACCCCTTCATTTAATTAAAATGGGGCAAGGGAAAGTTGAATTAAATACTTATTAAATATAATGTATTCAAATCCTATTATCTTCTCTTCAAGAATTCAACGGAAGGGCTACTGGTTTTTGCAATGGCAAAAACTTAATAATTTCAGGCCCACTTTGCTAATAACTATTAAAAATCCCTAGCCCAGCCCTGGTTGGTGTGGCTCAGCGGATGGAATGCTGGCCTGTGAACTACCTGAAAGGTCACTGCCGGTCTGATTCCCAGTAAAGGCATGTTGTGGGCCAGGTCCCCAGCTGGGGGCATGTAAGAGGCAGCCAAAGGATGGAGAGACTGAGGTATCTCTCATGTATCCACATTGATGTTTCCTTCCCTCTAAAAATAAATAAATAAAATCTTTTAAAAATAAAGTTACTGGCCCAGACTTGGTTTTCCCAAACACCACGACCATTTTCTACCCTTGCTCTGTCCCAAATAAGATATGTACTCTAGGGGCATGTACCTGTGCGCAAGGACTACATAGAGTGTTACATTTATCAAGTCTTCAGGATCGACAGCTCTTACTATCTTTCGGAAGGCTTTATGTGACTAACAAAACTGAACGTCCAAATTCTTGTAAGGTTCTAAGTCAGGTATTTATTGAACCCTAGTTTGTAAATTAAAAAACAAATAAGGTTGTTGTGTCTGACGGGCCTAAAATTATAACACGTACCCTAACAAAGCTGGTGTTCTATCTCACACTGGTACCGAGCTCTCAGAACACCTTAACTAAATAAACTGAGAGCAGCAGCCACCTAAGTAAATAAATGCCATCCTCTGAGATGTGCTATACTTGGGCCACTCCTTTAGGATAAGGAAAAAAAACCCCAACATTCAAAATAAAAGTTTTACTGAGGTATAATATACATACCATAAAATTCACCTGATTTAAATGCACAATTCAATGATATCTAGTAAGCTAACGGAGTTGTTACACCCATCGCCACAATGCCATTTTAGAACATTTCCATCACCCCCCTAAAATCTCTTCTGTCGATTTATAGGAAACCTCATTTAAAACCACAGTCCCAGGCAACCACTTACCCGCTCACTCTGTCCCTACATATTAACCATTCCTAGATAAACAGAATTATAGAACATGTTGTCTTTTGAGTTGGCCATCTTTAACTTACTTACACTGTTTCTGAGGTTCATCCATGTTGTAGAATTACCAGTATTCATTCCTTAACAAAACAGTACAAGTTTGAAGTGATTGTTTTTATGATTTTGCCCAGTTTTATCTGCTTTTGAAGAAGAGGATTTGCCAAGCTCCTCATTCTACCATTCAAGAAGTTCCACCTTAGCCAAGTTTTTTAAGTGGTGATTTCTCTTGATTACTCTGAGATTATGTTCTTATAAGTAGTTTGTGATTTTGATGTCTTGTTTAGAAAGATTGTAGTAACATACAACTATATGTTCTTCTAGTACTATCACTTATAGTACTATCACTCTTAACTCCAAATACAATTTATTTTTACATATATAGAAAATTTGAGGTTAAAAAGCCTAAAACATGAGTTTTATTAAGATACACAAACCTGTTGTTGAAGTCTATTACTGCAAGGAAACTAAAATCCAAAGACCGCAGAAGTACTAATTAAAAGACCAAAACTCGTAGTTCTCGAGGTGAAAGAGTATCTTTCGGTGAACATTAAAACTCATACAAAATGCCCCGGCTGGTGTGACTCAGTTGGGATGTTGTACAATAAACCCAACAGTTGCGGCTTTGATGCCCGGTCAGAGCACATACCTGAGGTGCAGATTTGTTCCCCAGTCGGGCTCTTGTAAAGAAGGCAACTGGAAGACAACCAGTGGATGCTTCTCTCCCTCTCTCTCTAAAGTCAATACGCATGTCCTCGGGTGAGGATTAAAACAACAACCAAACAACAACAAACACCCTCAAAAGAGGCCTAGCACTTATACAACAACCAGAATATAGAGATGCTACTTTCCTTATAAATTTCCCACTTTACATATTGAGGTTATTTCTTGTTTTAACTTTCAGAAAAGTGTTTCCAACTTATAATAAAAGTTAGTGGAAAAATACTCACTTCAGAGAGATTTTTACAACTAGATTTGTCGGAATGCTTCCATTCAAAAAAGTGAAAATGCCTATATGGATTTTTCTGTTACACCTACGTTTTCGCCAACCAGCCTTTTTACTTCCTGTCTCTTAACAGGATAAGACTCATGAGACGTAAGAAAAATTAAAGCATTCAATAATCTGTTAGAGAAACAAAATATTAAGGTTAATAGTTTATACTTTTATAAAATAAATATAAAACCTACAGATAAATATTCATACATTCTGCTAGAAAACTCTACAAATTCTTCAGTTCATTCCAATTATCCCTGTGTGTTTTCATAGAAAATTTTACTTTACCACATCCTTATAAAACTCTCTTAAGACCTAATGTTTCACTTTTAACAAATTCTAGCTCTGAAATGAAATTAAACGGAGAGTCAATAAAACCTTAGTTTTCTCTGCTGGTATATGTAGTAAACTTTTAATTGCAAAGACATACATCCAAACAGGCCACGGTGAGCTAAACTAATTTTTCAGAGTAAAAAAACAAATTCAAAATTCAAATCAACTGAAAATCTTTTTCCTTTAGTCTTTAGGGTTATGGCCACTAAGGCAAGGTTTTATAACCTTCATTATCCTAAATTTTTAAAAAAGTAATCCTCACCTGAGAATACCTATGTGGATTTTTGAGCAAGGGAGAAAGACAGGAAGAGAAGCATCAACGTGAGAAACATCAATTGTCTGCCTCCCAAACACACCCCCGAGCAGTTCTGAAACCTGCAGCCTAGGCGTGTGCCCTGACTGGGGATGGAACCCGCAACCTTTTGGTGCACAGGCCGACGTCCCAACCACGTAAGCCACCTGGCCAGGCTATCCTCATTTCTGTAAATATAAAAGGCATCACAGTTGTATTTATTATGAAATCGCTGCACATGCTCCGGAAAAAAGAAAAATGTGTCAGTCACAAATAAAGGAGATATAGTAGCAGTGTCATTAAAGTTTCATGAACAAGTAACTATCTTCTCCCTCGGCTAACAATTTCAGAGGCAGAAAACTGGGTCTTATTATTTCCCAATGATCATTAAGTTGTAGGCTTGCGCAGAAGACACAGGCCTTGTAGGACACTTAACAAAACAGCCTCCTACAGTTAACGATTTCATTATTTAAATTGGCACATGGCAGATTATGTTAACAGATTTATTTATTAACTAAGTCTAATCATATTTCCTCAGTTGGCATCAATACGGTATCTAGTATTTATGTTTGCTTCAACACTGGATATTTGTTCAAAAGTCTTCCATATTTGATTTCTACCATAGAAATTGGAGTTTCAATATAATATATTTTTAATGGTACATTGCAAAAGAATAAATAAATAAAAGGCCCTAATGAGAGCTAAAATAATTTCATTTGAGAATCCCATTTACAAGCGAAAAATTTGCTTTTTATTGCAAGGAAATAGAACATTTTGTAATTAAGGGTTCACAGCAATGTATTAAGATCCCAGGTAATGTAACACTATTTTTCAAAAATTTGCTAAGTGAAATAAGCCAGTCAGAGAAAGACAAAGAACATATGATTTCACTCATATGTGAAATCCAATGACCAAACTGAACTAATAAGCAAAACAGAGACAAACTCATAGATGAGAGCAGGCTGATAGCTCAGGGTGGTGGGGAAGGGGAGAGTTAGAGGGTAGAGAAACTGAGCAAAAAGGAAAAAGGCCTCATGGACACGGACAACACAGTGTGGTGATAGCAGGGGTGGGGGGGATAAGGGGAATAAAAATGGTAGTGGCAAAAATACAATAAAAAATAAATTTAAAAAATTGTCATATCATCCCCTTTTCTGGCATATGACTTTTCTATTCTATTTCCCCAAATATTTTATTTATTTATTTATTTTCAGAAAGAAGGAAAGGTAGGGGAGGGAGTGAGAAACATCAATGTGAGAGAGAAACACTGATCAGTGCCTCTTCCATGCTCCCAGGCATGTGCCCGGACCTGGAATCACACAGGTGACCTTTCGCTTTGTGGGATGACACCCAACTAAGCCACACCAGTCAGGGCTGGCTTTTCTATTTTAACGTTTAATAGTTTTCACATAATTCCAAACACAAACTCCAGATAGCATTCTTTGTAATAGCCCTAGCTGGTGTAGCTCAGTGGAGCACAGGCCTGTCAACCAAAGGGTTGACGGTTCAACTCCCAGGCAAAGACACAAGCATGGATTGCAGCCCAGGTCCCCAGTGGGCAATGTATGAGAGGCAACCACACACTGATGTTTCTCTCCCTGTCTTCTTTCTCCCTTCCTCTCTCTCTAAAAATAAATAAATGAAATCTTTAAAAAAAGAAAGAATGCTTTATAAAGTTTAAATGCCTATTATTTAACAAGTTTTTTTTTAATTTTTTTATTTATTTATCTTTAGAGGGGAAGGGAAAGAGAGAGGGAGAGAAATATCAACGTATGGTTGCCTCTCATGCGTCCCCTGATGGGAACTGTCCTGCAACCCAGGCATGTGCCCTGATTGGTTAACAAATATTTTTGAATTACACATATTTACACCAAACAAAAAGTATAGAAAATATTGATAACTTCACTAAGAAAATGCAAATTATAAGCTATAAACTTCATGAGATTAGGGACGATGTGTCTACTTTGCTTTCTATTTTATTCTATTCTATTCTGTTCTATTCACTTATTCAAACAATATTTATTCATCATCTACCACATGCCTGACAATGTTCTAGGCAATGGAGATACATCAATAAACAAAACAGACAAAAATCCCTGTCCTTTTGGGAACTTACTTTCCAGCAAAGAGAGACAGACAATAAACAAAATAAATAAAATACACAGTATGTTAGAAGGTTATAAGCTGGTAGAGCGGGATGAGGAAGGAAGGCGGGGTGCAATTTTAAATGGGGTAGCCTGGTCAATCCCATTAAGAAGGGAAATGAAGAACTGAGCCATAAGACAGGTAAAGACACAGCAGTCTAGGTCAAGGTTCTGACTCCAAATGGGGACTAGAGTATTCAGGGAACTGTAAGATCCATGTGGCTGGAACTGGGAAAGCACAAGAATATGAGTACAGAGACTTAAAGGGAGGGGGATGTTTTAGACCATAGAAAACTTGAAGGTCATTGAATAAACTTTGGTTTTGAGTAAAGTGAGAGTCATTAACGGGGTGCTAAGCAGTAGATTTCCAAGACCTAACTAAATTGATCATCCTGGCTGCTGTGTTCAAAACAGATGGTGAGGCGATAATGGAGGCAGGGAAAACAACTGGCATGCAACTCCAATAAGCCAGGTCAGAGGTGGTGTGGTTTGGACCAGAATAGGAAGAGTGAAATTAAAATGCTATTCAGATTCAGCATATATTCTCAAGGTGAAGCAAACAGGATTTCTGCCTGATTAGATGTGGAAAATGGGGAAAAAATCCAAAAACAGTCAGGAATAACTCCAATGCTTTTGGTTAAAGACTAGAGTTGGGGAAGACTGAAGAAGGACATGATCTGAGGGGGAATCAGAAGTCCGGGTTTGGACATTTTTCAGTTGGAGACATCTGTCAGATATCCAAGTGGAGAGGGTCATGTAGGCATTTGAACAAAGCAACTGAGATTCTAGTTAATGGGCTGGAGATACATAAATCTCGAAGTTGTTAGAACAGGGGGAAAGGTATAGGGAACAAGAAGCATAAATGGTAGGTACAAAATAGACAGGGGAGGTTAAGAATAGTATAGGACATGCAGAAGCCAAAGAACTTATATGTATGACCCATGGACATGAAGTAAAGGGGTGGAATGCTGGTAGAAGGGCAGGTGCAGCGTGGGGGGGGGGGGGAAGGGGGGCAGGGAATGGAACAACTGTAATAGTGTAATCAATAAAATACATCTTTAAAAAAGGTTAATGGGCTAGAGATATAAATCTGGAAGTTGTTAGCATATAGATAGTATTTAAAGCCATGAGGTTCCATGAGTTAACCAAGGGAATGAATAAAGATAAAGACAAGAGATTCCAGGGCTGAACATTGGGCACTGGACAGTCCAATGCTAAAGAGATCCCAAAGAAAAGGAGGAACCAGCAAAGGAAACTGAGATGGTATAGCCACCGGTGAGATAAGAAAAACTACAGAGTGTGATGGTGCCCTAGAAACCAAATGAAGAAGTGTTTCAAGGAGAATGATCAAATTGGGCCAATTGCTTTAGGATGAAAACTAATAATTACTACTGGATAGCCTCACCCACAAGGAAGATGAGACATGTAGTTACCACAATCGATATGTGTTCAGTGAATATACAAAGCAAAATATCATAACATCATTATTTCAAATTCTCTTCAATACTTCTGAAAGTCACTGTTGAAAATGC